CCCAAGTGAAATAAAAATCATTCTTCCAGAATTTATTATAACCATTTCTGATCCGACCATAACATTTCCTTTATTTTTCTTTCTGTCCCTCAAGAATTTCTTATCTTAACCCAGTAGTGACCAAATAATCAAATATTCACCAACGTTTCATTTTATTTTTGCAAAGTTTCTATTGAGCATAACCTAATTTGTTTCCGGAACAAACTTGCATTTTATGTTACTAAAAAGCATTCTCTCGGGAAATCTGTCTCAAATCAAACAAATGTGATCGATTATGGACATCATAGCCTATTTCACAAAAGAATATTTTCAAAATATGTTTCATTATTTCCTTTTTCATTTCAGAATACTTGTTTCTTTTAAGAAACTTTGGTTTGATCAGTTTTTTTGTTTTTATGAAAAGCAACACTTGCTATTTTTTTTCCTGATAACATTATCCTTACTTAACAAAATCTTTAAAAATATGTATTCGCTATTCTTCTGGCCAAATGTTTTCATTCAATATCATATACAAAAGCAAGACAGAATGTAAGACAAAAGGGGGAAGTGCAAAACACAGAAAAAAAAAATCCCTTTTCCTGAGAATACATTATTTGATTATTGTAGTAAAAAAAAAAAAAAAAAGAAAAAGAAAAATTTAAAAAGTATGCAATAGCAAAGGAAGAGCAAGGAGAAACAGAAAAAAAAAATTTCCATATGTACATTGAAAGAAAGAATAATAAATGAAGAAAAAAGAGCTAATTTGTTATGGTTTCTCACTCATCAGATCATTAAAGAATAAGAAAAGTTTAGATAATCAGTAAAATAGTGAGAAACCTTAAGGTAGAATATATATATATATGCTTTATTTTCCATAATTTTGTAAAATTATGGAAAATAAATCATAATATATATATATATTTTAAAAAAAAATCTACATTACAACCAAAAACGTTTGTTTTTTTTCTCTTATATAATTTCTCAAGATGATAGAATCCAGGTAGAACTCAATGTCCAGGACAGAGTAAGAAAATTTTGAATTTTTAGGTCTGATGAATTGGATCATGATTACAATTCCAATGTAATAAATTATAACCATGGAATATTAGTGTTTGAGCCTTATATATATATATATATATATATATATATATATATATATATTTTTAATGAAAAAACAGACCACTTTAAAAGGTACCATTACAATAATTTATTTCACCAAAATCCTTTTTAAAGGACTCCGGATCATCAGGTAACAATTCCAACAATGAAATGAAAGGAAAAATGGGATTAGAAATTGATGGGTAGTGTAATTTTTGTAATTTGACTTTGGGGGTGAGAGTGGTAGGTAAAGAGACAAGGTAGAGTATAGGGAGGGGTTAATACACTACATTTCCACATATATGACAACATTTAAATCCCAAAAATCACACTTAAAAATCGTGGGACATCTTATACTACAATTCTAAAAAAGAAACCTTAAATCCTGAGTGATTTTTATCAGTAGGCTAACCTCCACCTTGCTGCAATAACCAATAACATACATGAAAAGATTCACATTATCAAATAAACTGATAATACAAGTAATAAAACCATTCCTCCCTAAAATATTTCTGGCATAACTTCCTAAAAAATTGCCTATTCAAAGAATAATTCCATATCAATGAAATCAATTTGTATCCATGCAAGCTCAGCTGAGAAAATGTAAACATTGACTTATGATTGTGACTAAAAAATATGTTGAAAGTGGAATGTACTATTATCATACATTATCATATTATTATTAGCAGTATTTTGCGATTGCCGATGAAGTAAATGGCCATTAGTTCACCAAGCTGCTTGTAACTGTTTAGAACAAGAATCAGTATTCACAAAATCACATGATGAAACATAAACAAAACAATGGTTTCCCTTTTAGGGGACATGTGCAGGAAAACATGATATAGAATTTGTTTTGTTATTTCTAAGGATACAGTAACAACATTTTCAATAACATCATTTTTATATAATCAATGAGAAGTCATCTTATACGAAAGGTATTTATTTTTTTAAAAATCAGTATCACCCCAAGCAAGGCAATACAGCCACTAACACACAAGGGTTACAGGGTGTAGATGAAATTAGGAACAGAAACATTAGTAATGAGTAGAAAGAGAAAAGAGCAATCAGCAGGACAGTAGAAAGCAATTGATATTGCAATTTTTGCAGATTAAAGTTGTCTGGAAATCATAGAGCAGAGAGTTCCAGAAAGGAGATGTGCAAGAAAAACTGTCAACATATAAGTTACAGCTACATTTAGCTAGCTCAACTTTGAATTGATGAGATCTTGCTGCCAATCAAGTATTTCACTTAAATTTAAAAAGTCTAGGCATCATAGTGAAGAGCTCATCTGAACAATTACCATGAAATTATTTATAAAAAAAGCACATAGAGGCAACTTTACGGCAGTGGGCAAGTGACTGAAGCCAAGCTGCCAGATCAGGACCGATAATATTGCCGATTCTTCTTTGAATCTTATCAAGCAAGGACACTGGGCTATATATGGCAGCAATACTCTAAGCATGGGCGAATGGTAGACATAGATATTCAATATATATATATATATATATGTGTGTGTGTGTGTGTGTGTGTGTGTGTGTGTGTGTGTGCAAAACATGTAATTCCAATTTAATGTATTTATCGGTGAATCTTTGAATACCATGAAACTTTTAGTTATGCGTATGCTTGGCATGTTTTTAATAAGATCTGAAAAACATAACATTTATACTATATATACAATAAAAAAGTAAATGATTCTAAATTCAAATGTTCTGTTTTTAACAAAACTAATGAGGTAAGAATCTCAAATTTGAAATTTATGATTGACATTTGTTCTGAGAATTACAGCTATGGGATTTGATAATATTTTCAACAGATTTATTAAACAAACATCTAACTGTGACAAGGAATTTGTCGCAAAACACTAGAGTCAGTCAAAGAAGAAATGGTTATAGCCAAGAATTTAATTTCTTTTTTGCTGATAACTTCCTGAAAGAGTTGATGGTATTAACTGCATGGTAATGTTGGTGGAGGACGAGATTGATTTTGTCAAGCCTTTCCCTCTTGTCATTTGAATTCTTCCTTTTCTCTTCTGGTTGTCGCAAATTTTTTGGTTCCAATAGTGATGAAATTGGTATGGTCTCAGGCTTGATATAAACCGGTTGTAACAGCAAAATTGTCCAAATCCTGTAACAGCATAATTGTCCATCCCACAAAATGTTTAATATCTAAAAAAAATGACTGAACTAATTGAATTTGTTTTTTCCAGGTTTTCAGATAAAACGTTTAGCTATCTTGATACCATTTACCATAAGAATCACTGAAAAAACCCTTTGAGTTATTCAGCTAGAAAGAGAACCGGTTAAAATCATCATGTGTCAGCCCCACTAGGTCTTCCCAACTGAGCAATGGTGGGAGAAAAAAGATCATTCAGGCCTTCAGCAATGATACCAACATTCATATTTTGACTTCTATCTTCAAAGTCCATTCAAGAACCATCAAGAGAATGGTGAATAAGTTTAAAAAAGAGGGAACAGTAGAGAGGAAAAGTGAATCAGGAGGTCACAACAGTAACGGAGCTCATCATTTCAACTTAGCACTAAAGAGATCAAATAGAAAAGATCCAACTCAATCCATAAGATGTTTGGCATGTGAGAGAGGAGTTTCACCTAAGACAGTTCAAAAAGCAGTGAAAAAAGACTTGAAAATGAAATTATACACAAAATGTGTGAGGCACCTTGTTACTCCAGGACAGAAAGTTAGGTTACAGAGAGTGAAGATCATCTTGAATAAGTTGGAAAATGACCCTGTAATTTTATATATATATAGAATTAAACTTTATTTCAATACTTCATGGCCTTCTGATCCTTATCTATGATTAATTAATGAACATGTCATTTTCATTTATGATTGATTTTATCACAATTCTTCTGTTAAGCTTGGAGAGTAATTATAGCTTCTTATTGATCAAAGTAGAGTCCAATAGTTTTATAAAAATCTCGTAGAATTCCAGTAAGTTATCTTTAATTATTTCTAAGATACAATGGTACAAAGCTTAATCTAAGAATTGGACAATTTTGTTGCAAATCTTTCTGAAGTGTTGGAGGAAAAAGCTTCCTTTTAAAGAATGCACTATAGTTTTTAGAACAATATATAAATTCTGTTTTATATATATATATATATATATATATATATATATATATATATATATATATATATATTTTATGAATAAAAATGACAATAGGAAAACTGGTAATTAAAGTAAGTTTATTTTTTCCATTTAAACAAATAAAAAAATTTCTCCGATTTAATGGGTAAAAGACAATATTTATGAATAAAAATGACAATAGGAAAACTGAATAAATTCTATTGTCATTTTATTCATAATTGTTTCTACCGATTAAATCGGAGATTTTTTTGATTTATATATATATATATATATATATATATATATATATATGGAAAACAATTAGTAGACTCAGTTATTAGTAAGATTTGGCCATTAATTTACTTTCCTTTTTTTAAAAAAAGGAACAAAAAATACAGCCAGCTAACTATTTTACTGAATTCTGATAAGTGACTTTTCAAGAATTATTATTCCTATAAGACCATATGCGACTATGCCTCTGAAGGTAGCTGACAACTTGATTGACACAATTCTCTGAATCTATTCAACCAAAGAAATTAATTCAATTTAAAATAATTTTGGATTATGAAAGTTATTTATTTTTTAATATTTTTCCCCAATTTGTGCTTTATGGATGTGTTATACAAAATTCCTAAGTCAACTCCAATATTCAGATTCAATTTCCTTAAGAACCACTCAACCAATCAATTTCTTGAAACAAGTTAATGTTTTCAATTAGTTCTTTTACCACATTTAATTCTAATAATTATTAAAAGGCAATAAAACCTTCTCACATATTCCCCCATGATGCCAGCAACTTGTTACAAAAAAGCCAGGCCTTTTTATATTTGTTTGTTGATCATTGTAAAGCTTCCTTAGTGCTCTTGCATATACAGACAGACACACAATGACAAGGGCAGAGAGAGAGAGAGAGAAGCAAGGAAAGAAAGATATGGGAAGAGGGATGTGCACACAAAATTAGAGAGATGTACAGAGAGACAAGCAGGTATGAATATGCACACAGAAAGAGAGAGAAGCACATAGAAAATGAAAGAGAGAGGGAGGCACATAGAGAATGAAAGAGACATACATGTAAAGAGAGAGAGAGGCAGGGAGAGAAAGAAAGACACAAAGACATAAATAGAGAGAGACATACACATACACACAGAGGGAATGAGAGAGGTTGTTGGCTCCAAATTTATATGCAAATGACTTCAAAGACTTCTCCCTCAGCAAATTTATAGACAAATCATAAAGATGCATGCTGGGATTACTTCCTAGCCAATAAGATTGGCCACTTTTCAGTCTCATCTGCCATATTCTTGTTATTTGCTTGTCTTGAAGTCAGAATGTTGTGATCACTTGACTGTATTTCATTTGTTTGTTAACACCATCCTTAGTTTGTGAACATTTTTGGCCTCATTACTGTTGCCCTGCCTACTTTTCTCTCATGTATATATATATAAAATAAATAATAAACAAATTAACAAACCATTATGACCAAAATATTAGTTAGGCTATGAAAATCAAAACAAAAATCAGACAAAAAACATAGCTATAACTGTTATATAACGATAAAAAAATAGGTTACTTAAAAATCAAAAACTGAAAAGAGTAAATGAAAATATACAGTATAATAAATAAATAAAAAAACAAGTAAAATAAATTAATCTAAATTAATCCAAATAAATAAAACTAACAAACCGATCCCGATAAATTAACCATTAGAAAAAAAACAAGATAATCAATCCAAATAAATAAGTGAAGTAATAAACAAATTAAAAAATGCTCCTGCCAAAATAATAGTTAGAATAAACTACAACAATCAACCCCAAAATTGAACAAATAGCTTTAATTATCTTCCTAAATCAAAACAAAACTATTAAATAAGTGATATAAACAAATTTTTACTACACTTTTTCCAGAACCTTATAAAACCCTTTTCCCACCTTGTTCATCTTGCATTTCTATTTAGGCGCGGAACTTTTCCTTGACCTCGTATAAAAAAAGATAATCTACTTGTTTCCATCTAATAAAAGTTACACATGTTTTACAAACAGACGTCTTTGTCATTTTATTCCTGCTATCTCTTTGATGTTTATTAATTTATACACTTGTTGATTGATTTTCCTCTCACTGTTCATTCACGCATTTTTTTTTTTTTTTTTATACATTGCTTGTGGACGCGGTAGTTAAGTGTGGTGTCTGGCACAAGGCCATTTCGTAATAAACCAGCACTGCACCCTACCGGGTCTGAAACACCTTTTCTTATGAAATTTAATCTCACTATTAACAGTCTTTTTTTTAATTTCTTTTATATTTTCCATAAAGCATAAAAAAACGAAAAAAATGAAAGCTAAGTACAAAAAAAAATTTTTAAAAAAATAAAAATAAAAAATTAGAGCGCTGAAAGTTTTCCTAACGATTAAAAAATGTAAAAAAAAATACCCCAAAATACTTTGATCTTTCCTCTTTAATAATAAATATGAACATTAGACGATAAAATTTTGTTTTTCGTCAAGTTTGGCGAATTTTTTTTCATCATGTTATGCTCATTTGTTTACATTTTCGTAGGTGAGTTGTCCCCTTCCATTCTCACGATATGTCTTAATCGCGTTTTTCAAATTGATTTTATTAAAAACAACTGATTTTTTCCCATTTTCGGCCCCGTTAGAACCACCACAAAAGTAATTTTATGTAGTCCTGTGAAGTTTTGTTGAAATCGGCTAAAAAATGTAGGAAATTCGATCCAACATATAAACGTTACAGACACACACACACAACCTGCATTTTATAATAAGTAAGATATATGATACTTAAATGTATAATCATTATCAGATATATTTTTTAGAAAGATAAAGCATTATTTCTAAGGGTTTCATTTTATTATCGTTTATTATAAAAATACATGAAGAACATTGATTATTAGGAATAAATTGTACAAATTGCCTGTCAATTTTTGACCAAATTTGAAGAAAAATAAATCAAAATCAGAAGTGAGGCATAAAATTCCTGAAAGATCACCAAAATATATAAGAATAAAAAAGGTTCTGAGACTTACTTTTCAATTGTTGCCCTGAGAAACTTTGCCGTGCTGGCTTTTGCTTTCTGGGCCTCAGCAGATCTTAATTTCAACTGCAGTTCTTTTTGCTTGATTTCACGAATGTGTTGACTGGGATAAAGAAAAATGAAAAAGTATGAAAACGTTTTACCTCAGGCAAAGAGGAATGAAAAAGTACGAAAAGATGCGTTTCCTGTGACATCACTATGACTAGGAATTTCATGCAAAGATGCAATCCTCAGAGAATGAATATAGAACAACAAACCCCCAAAATATATTCTTAGCTCATGGGTGGGAAGGGAATAAAAACCCTTGCAAATATATGCAAAGTTTGTTTTGGTGCTGGTTTTTCCATATTCAATCTCATTTTCTAAACCATCTGAGGATTGCTTTTACAAATTTTTTTTATGTATGTATCTAGAGTTCTAAAAATGTTTTATTTTCCAAACATGATCAGCACATTGTGGCCGTGTTCATAGTTTATATTATTGAGTGTTGGCATTTTCCTTTTTATTAATAATGTTTCCATTATTTTTAGCCTTTTTTTTTTTTTAAAAATGTGGATGGGGCATTATATTTGTATTGTCAGTGAGCATGTTGTGAATGGAGTTTGGTAGGTGTCAGTGTGTATTTAAATGAATCCTAATTGAGCTGTGGTCAGAGAGATATAACATAAGCCTTCTTGTTCTAAATAAAAAAAAAAAGAAAAGAAAATTATAAGAACTCAAGACAAATTAAGAAAAAAAATTTAACCACAGTACCTTGTCAGTCATTTTTAATGAAACTTGTATAAAAGTGGGATTGCTACCTAAATACAGAATATATATGAACTAACCAACAAAACAGTACAAAGAGAGTAGATCCAAAATGTTATTCCAAGTTTCTGATGATGTAATTGGTACGTTGCAAGAAAGTCAAACTGTGTAAAGATTTGTACCTATTTTTGTTCATTAGTGTTACTGCTGTCTTGATTCTTCATAGGCATAGAACACTATGGATTATTGCCTAGATAGACATCTCTCTTTTACATTTCCTTTCAGTTATTGCCATTTTTTTTGTTTGTTTTGATTTTTTTTCCCTTTGTTGTTTGAAGTTTTTTGTTTTGCAGGCTTTATCTTGGTAGAGTTATATTGAAACCTTTATCAACAGTTTGGTTTGTTTATATATAACAAAAAAAATTACAGGACTTTTCCAGGACTATGTCAAGAAGTTTCAAGGACTGAAACTGATGTGTACACACATACATGAAGTAAATTGTCATCAATTTAAAAAAACAAACTTCCTTATTTATCGTTTGATAGTTTGACAGATGAGATGTTCAAAGAAAAGCTACAGCTGGTTCCAATAATTCAATGTCACATGGATCAGTTGAAAGCAATGAAGAAATCCAAGTGTTGAAGTCTAAAACACAACTGAATTCAGACCTGGTTATGTTACACATTTTGTGTAGCATTCTACACTGTTTGAAATTCTACTACACTTGAAAATTTTGATTTTTTTTTTAAAGACACACTTTAATTCTTACTGCTACACATTTTAGCTATATAGACTACTCATGATTTGTGAAGGTCACAAAAATTCTTGATTGCTGCACATTTCCTGTGAAGTTAAGTATAATGGTTTTAATGAACAGAAATATAAATAGAAACTTTCACAAAAAGACTACACATTTTGGTTACCACTACTACTCATGGCTTTCATTACATGGAACACAATGATGTTAACATTTTTTTCAGTTCATCTAGATTAGTATTCAGTACCTCTTCCAATTTTGATATCTCTATGAACTTAATCTTTGCAGATCTTGACAGCATTGGACTTTGCAATAAGAGTCAAGTTCTGAGTCTACTCAGCTTTTCCTGCATAGATGACTTGAGAAAATTTTGTGTGCAACTTTTAAGCTTGTGTTTTTTGGTTTTCAGTTCTTCACTTTCCATAAATATGGATTTCTGTTTTTGCCCAGCTGTTTCTTCCTGCTTTTTTTCTTCTGTCTCAAGGTATTGGTTGTATGTTGTTCTGGCATTGGAAACAAGGTAGAAAAGAACCTTAGTCATGGGAAGATTCACACCACCTCCAACTGTGGTTAAATAGTCCGTGATAATGCATTGTGCAATCAGAGTTTGCTGTTTCATATTGTCAGTGGAAATTTCCTTATTGACTGAGAAATCTGTCTCCGTCTGTCCATGAGAGAATGCCAACAATTTTCAAACAACTTTCCAGAGTTTTTTTATATTCCTTGATGAAGAAGAGTAGAACAAAGGTCTTCATGTCTGCTGAAATTCTTGAAAGTAATATTTCCAGCAGCCTCCTCCTCAAACTCTTTATATTAACTGTTGATGTCAAAATAATCAGACTTACTGACTGGTTTTCTGTCCATCATGTGGGAAAGACATCTTTTTAGATTTAGACTATATTCTGTGGTAGATTTCTTCTACAAATGGATCCAGGGTTCAGCCATGCAAGTGATCTTACAAGAGGTTATCCAAGGGGAAACTTTGCCAGAAGTATCTCAAAGATGGTGATGAACATTGCCTGCAGAATTGCAATGAAGATAGATCTTTTGTTGACACATTTCCTTTTTTGGATAAATTTTGTATAACCCTATCTGCTAGAAATTCACACTTGATTTTTGCAGCATATTTATTTTATGCTTTATTTGGTTTGACAAAATTCTTACAAATTCATTCAGTTTGGAAAACGTAATTATCTTTTTAGCGTGCTCTTCCTTAAATTTCCTTAACAGTTTCATGATCATGTTAAAAAGGTCATTTGCAAAGAAAAGAAGCAATGGTTTATTGCTGTGATATTTTATCAGAAACGGTTCAATGTCTTTCAAAACGGACACAAAAATCTGCAGTTTCACTGGAAAGAAAACATTACGTTAGACAGCACCATAGAGAAAAACTTGGTTTGTCTATTTTTTTTAATTAAGTTCACAAATTTGACGACATCTAGCCAAATGTCTATGAGTCGTTCACATGTTTGTACATTTTCTAGCCATTTATGGAAGAAATACAAAAGTTGCCAGATTGAACTTTTAAAACAAGCAATAAAAGCCAAATAAGTTTTAATATATTTCATTTTTTTTCATACTTACAACAAAAGCTATAGATATAGGTCAACATTAAAAATAACAATCTTCTTATTTTTTCAAAGGCACATTTTTTATTCTATCTTCCTTCCTGTCTACATTTCCTTTTAGTCAAACAAATTTGATTCTCAAACTTGTTACAATTGGCAACAATTTAGACAAACATAATTTACACATAGATACACATTAAGTATCTTTATTTTTTTCAGCATGAACACACACACTGTTAATCAAAAGGATATTTTACATTAGAAATTGACATGTGAATAAGATTTCTTCAATTGCTGAAATTTAAAAAACACTGATAAATTTTTCAAGATTTTACTAAAATGAATCTTATTACTGTAAAATAATTTTATTATTTTCCTTACAACAAATTCAATGTATAAATTTATCTTTGACAGAGAGGTTTACTTGTTGTATCTGACACCTTTTATCTTTGCTTTTCCTCTAATTGCGTGAGGGTATTGTTTTACAAGACACACCTTCATATTATATGTGTGGGCAGCCCAATTTAGAAAAACCCAGGACTTTTCAAGGCTACTGCCATTTTTCCAGGACTTTTCAAACCCTGGAAAAGGCCCTGTCAATTTCCCAGGACTTTCCAAAGTTTCCAGGACCTGTACGAACTGTCTCTCTCTGTCTCTCTCTCTATATATATATATATATATATATATAAAAAAAATCACAAATGATGGCTGCCACCTCATTGTAGAGTATGACCATCATGAGATATCTTTGCAAAATCAAGCATGAGAATTCTTTAAGTGGAGGAAGACATTACATTAGATTAATCTCATTCTTTAAGCAAGAAGAGCATGGACCTGAAAAGAAGAACCAATTAACAACATTGGATTCTGTCAAGCTGAACATGTTACATGAGAGTTTTCCTTCTTCTTGTTGAATACCTTAACAAAGGCTAAGGGGTCCAATACTCCCAGTAGGCTTACCAATGACACTGGACACCAACTCACCTATTACTACATCCCTACACGTGGTTGTTGATCCTATGAAAAGATTTATCCGCACTTTCATAGCTACAAAATCCTGGTGAGTGTCACACTCCTTACCAGAAAAGCCTGATGGCAGGGTGGGGGACTAGTTTAGCTACCAATAATTCCAACTTGTTACCTAATAATACTGATTTATGGTTGAAGTTATTGGTGACTGTTACACATTATGTGGAAAAAAAAAAACCATGAAACTAAGTGAAAAAATTTGACTCATCATGGCTGATTTGTCATAGTGGGGGATCTCTACATGCAGTATTGATGTACAAATGTTCTTGGTCAGGTGTCCGGAATAGGGATTAGATAGACTAACTTGGAAAGGAATAGCCAGTCAAAATGTATGTATGTATGTATGTATTATAGCAGTCAAGTCAGACATACTGTCCAAATCATGTAACAGCATAATTGTTCATACCACAAAATGTTTAATATCTAAAAAAAAAAAAAAAAAAAAAAAAAACACTAAATTAATTGAGTTTCTACCAGGTTTTCAGATAAGACATTTAGTCATCTTGATACCATTTATCAGAAGAATCAGTGAAAAACCCTTTAAGTTATTCAGTTAGAAAGAGAACAGGTTAAAAGCATTTTGTGTCACCAAAGTCTTCCCAAATGTGCAATAATCATTCAAGCCTTCAGTAATGGTACCAACATTCATATTCTGGCTTCCATCTTCAAAGTCCATTCAAGAACAATCAAGAGAACGGTGAATAAGTTTAAAAGAAGAGGGAACAGTAGAGAGGAAAACTGGATCAGGAAGTCACAACAGAAAGAAGGATCAACATTTCAATTTAGAGCTAATGAGATCAATTAGAAAAGACCTAATTCAATTCATAAGACGTTTGACACATGAGGTGAGGAGTTCCAGTGCTGACAGTCCAAAGAGCAATACAAAAAAAAGACTTGAAAATTGAATCGTACGTGAAATGTGTGAAGCACCTTGTTACTCCAGGACAGAAAGTTAGGTTAGAGAGGGCAAAGATCATCTTGAATAAGCTAGAAAATGATCCTGGAATAATATATACATATATTTGAACTTAATTTCAATCCTTAATGAGCTTCCGATCCTTAGCTATGATTAATTAATAATGAACATGTCATTTTCGTTTATGATCGATTTCATCACGATTCTTCTGTTAAGCTTGGAGAGTAATTATACCTTCTTATTGTTCAAAGTAGAGTTCAATAGTGTTATAAAACCTCAGTGAATTCCAGTAAATTATGTTTAATCATTTCTAAGATATATTGGTTCAAAGCTTAATCTAACAAATGGACAATTGTTTTTACATGATTTAAACAATTTTGCTGTTACACCCTCTGTGTGTGTGTATATATTGAGAAAATCTATGACAACATGGAAACAGTTTTCATTTGATGTGTTTCAGCCTTGAGAACATCATTGAACTAAAGTGATGCTTACATTGATGTGATTACACATGTGCAACTTGTGATGGTGAAATTTTAAATTAATTTTTTTTTTTTTTATTAATGTGTGTTTGGGTATATAGTCTATATAATTTTTTTTAAATCACTCTTGTTATTAAATATCCTACATTGTGATAATAGAAGAACTGCTAAGAAAAGGGAAATGTTCTAAGAACATGGATGTAAATTTACTATGGATGATCTAGTGATCAAAGCACTTTCTATATATTTTCATCTTAGCGTTCTCTTAAAGTAGCATTTTTTTTTTTTTTTTAAATCAAAATTATGGTCAAATTTAGTATGATGAACAATTAATACATTGAGTGTGTTGTTTTATGAAAGATTCCTTTAGTGTTCATATAATCTTTTTATTTAAATTCCTTGAGGTTTCTATGGATTCCTTGTGGCAATTATTACATGTTGAAATGCATCACATGAAAAAAAATTTTCTACTCTGTAATAGATTTTTTCCCATATCACAACATGCACAAACACAAAAAGAGAAAAAATATTAACCTCACATCAATAAGAGCTCCCAACTAGAACTTAAATTAGGTCAGAATCCCTTCTGAAATAGTCCCCTGATAAAATTACACATTAATCCCTGTACATTTTCCATAATTGAAAAGTAATGTGAGAGTTTTGTTCCAGAAAGATGGCCAATAGTGCAGACCTCATGACTATTGCCAATTAAATGAGAGAGTTGATGAATTGTCTGTTGACAGTCCTTATGGATGAATTTACAAATTTCATCCCTGTTTTTTGATGTCATGCTGGTGACAAGTAGGTCTGAATACTCATCATCTTGAACTGGCACTCAAATGGCCTTGAAACACACATGCCACTCAAAAACATGTGTCCAACCTTGAAAAGCTTGAGAAAACATTTCAAGGGTCTCAGCAGAAAAATTACCCAGCTTCATGCAAAATTTGATGCAGGCATTGTTTCGTTTTTCCTACGGCTTATCAACCCTTTTGATGCAGGTATGTTGTTCATATTTGTCAGTCATTGTAAAGCTCACAGAGCCATTCTGGCATAATGCTACAAAACCATGCATAATAATTTGACATGAACAGACAGTACAAAGCCTACTGGCAGACTAACTCAGTAGGCCAGATAGCAACAAGCATTAGTTTAAGAATAGCGATCCAAAGTCATTTTTCTGATTATTTCATCCCTAATAATGAAATTTCCAAGAATTTGCTTTTTATGTAATTTTCATGATCTGGTTTGCCAGTCTGATTTTGAGGATCTCAAATTTCACCCCATGACATGACATGATTTTAAATGAAGAATCATTAAAGAAGGTTGAAAAGTCAGCCAAAACCTTCCATGGTCTGGTCTGCCTGTCTGATTTTGAGGAAAAGTTCTTTGCTGTTTCGGAAATGTTTAATGTCTAAAAAGTTGTGTGCCTTTAATTGAAAAGGTTGAATTTAACTTAGACAAAAGATTTTTCTATGAAAGACATTAAGTGAAAATGTTTGCTGTTAGAATTTTTCTAATCTCTCATAAAGAAAGTTTGTTTTTTGGCGGCAATTTTCACACATAATTTCCATGTGTATCTTTGCGTGTGTGAGTCTCAAAATGCGACAAAAATTTGTTTGCTGTTTCTACTTATAGTTTTTGTTTTAGCAACAAAATCAGCTCTAGTGGCTTGGTAGCTTGTTGCAAATTTTTTTGAGAAATGCATGGGCGAATGTTGTATTTTTTTATTTTTTAGCCAATAGGATTTCTTGAAACATTTAAATTAGGGATGAATTTGAGAAAGATTTTTTTTTAAGTCAGTTGAGCCTATTTTTGCACAAATTTTGACTGTTTTGTTATGGAAATTTCCCGAATCTTATTTTTATTTAACAAACAAGGAAATTCAAGAAAATGTTTGAAAATTGAAATGAGGGTTACTAAAAACTGATGAGTTAATCAAACATTGTCCTATTCAGAAAAAAAAAACAGAATTCAAACTAAACTTGCATGTTGTTTTTTCATACCTACAAAAAAAAAATAGATAAGTTGCCGAGACTAGAGTTGGTCAAACAAAATGGTTTAAGTCAAGACAAATTCCAGATTTATCTCATTATCAGATGTTTTAGAACAATCAACAGCAACAACTGAAAATTTCCAAACAAATGAGGATAGAAGAAATGATCTTGCTGCATCTTGACAAAGTCTTCATGTAACCAATGGAAATTAGGAGATAAATCAACAGTGTCTTGTACCCTGCAAGAGATCTGGAAGCCACGTCAAAGAAATTGCTGATGTTTACACATTTTAGATCAATTTGAATGCAGTCCTAAAATTTGACAATTTGAAGTATCCAAAAAGGACAGACATACAACTGGCTGAGGTAGTGTTGCTGATTTGAATCAAGCCACAACAAAAGAAAAAGGTGAGAAAGGTTTTTTTAATATAAAAATATAAAAATATTTTTCTTTTTTTATACTCTTCAAAGGGATCACAAATGCTGTGATTGCTTGTCTGTATCCCCTTTTGAGTATTGATACCATTTTTAGTTTGTGAATGTTTTGCCTTATTGCTGTTACATTGCCTTGAATATGTTGTTTGCTCAATATTATTTTTGCCCTGTTTTCTTTTCTTTCTCTTGTTTATTGCAAAATTCTGTTTGTTGGGCATTTCTGCCAGTTATAGTTACCATAGCAATTAATCTACAACCTGAACAATTATGACTCCCCCACAACTTTCTATTTCTTATAGTACTTAGTAACCTTTGTCTTTTTTTTCATCACTCCCAACACATATACAGCAACTCAAAAAGCAAATCAAAGCACACCAAAAATAACATGGCAGAATAAGAACAGCATCAACTGACAGCAACGCCTCAAAACAATGTAACCTTTATTTGGAGAACATAGCAATACTTATCATTCTACGACAGGATAAACTCTTAAACAAAAAGATCAGAATTTATTTCCAAATACAGATACAAAAACAAATTCCTTCTGTGCTATCTACAACTACATTAGGATCAAAAGGACTAAATAAAATCCATGACCTAATTGTAATAAACTTTAATCCAAATGTCAAAAATCTAGAAACAAAGACAAATACACAAAAGTCAAATATACAAAACAAATATATATAAAGAAATCTAGTGGCAATAACCATAAATAACCCTCAGCATTAAACCTAAACAAACTTAACTCCAATGAGCCATTTTCCTCTTTCCTATATCACTTAATCCCCTAATGTCCTATGAGCACAGCCTGCTGAAAGAGTTGTGTCATTTGGTTGAAAAACAAATAAAAACAGCTGTTAATGAATTCAATATATTTATCTACTTCTGATGTACAGATTTACTTCAGTGGAGAAATAACTTTTTATGATGATGAGAAATGCCTATAACTTTTTATATGTATTCCACATGAGAAATGCGTACCTATAATTCTACTTGGCTTACTCACCTCATTTTCATTTCTTCATTCTTTTTTGCCCTCCATGCTTTCAGCTCTTCCTTATACTGGCGCAAGCGAGAAATTTCCGCTTGTTCCTGTGACAAGTCCTTTTCTCTTTTATTGAGATATTCTTCTGCAAGTTGAAATTTGCCTTTTTCTACATCAGCAGAAACGTAAGAATGCCTGAAAGAAGATTAATATGCAACAGTGATTTGGGGAATTTTAATGCTCTACAAGACAAAAAACGTTCACCAATTCCAGAAGACATAGTTTATGGTTAAAATGAAAACAGCTTTTTCCTAAACAGAAGTGAATCATTATTATGGTAGAAAGGCATGAGCTAATCTCTCTCTCTCTCTCTCTCTATATATATATATATATATATATGTTATATGGTTCTGCCAAAAAAATTTCCAAAAAAAGGCATACCATGAAGAAAAATGGCTCCAAACTTGATAAAAACAAAGTTTTATCATCAAAATAAAACAATTATTAAGAGGAAAGACCAAAGTATTTTGGGATCATTTTATTAAATTTTTTAATCCTTTCTAGGTTGTTAAAAATCTTGTTTTTCTTGCATCAATGGGTGGGCCAAAGATTAGTATAGGGTTTTTTAGCATCTTTTTGGTGTTAAAAAAATAAAAAACACACACACTGTTTTGGAAATTCTTGCAAAAATCAAATAATTGTTGTATTTTAATTAAATTTTCAGGACTTATTCACAAATAAATTATTTTTGTAATTTGTTCTTTTTAGAAAATCTTGGTAAAAATAATTTTTTTTTTTTTTTTTACATTTGTTACCCATACATACTCAATTTTATGAAATTTCAAGAAATTCAAATTTCAGCCTCTTTATATTAATCAAAAACAGGACTCCTTGGAGAATCTAAATGATCAATTTGTTTTTACCAAACACAATTTACTGAAAATCTGCTCTGAATCATAAAATAAAAAATCCAATAAAACTATGACATATAATTAGAAAACTTTTAATTGCTTTTATAAATAAGATATATTAAGAACAGTATTGTCTTAAGAAAAACAACATTTCTAAAGTTCAATGAAACTTTAGATTACAGAGAATATTTTCCTAAATTTTTAAGATTACTAAGTACTTAAAAATTATATAAAAAAAAGGCACTCATCATTTTCTTCAATTATGTTTTACAGATAAAGCCTCTGTAGAACATTAGATCTGTCATCAGACTGTCAACACATCAAGACAGCAACTGTCATGCTGAAAAATGCATTTCTGCAATATTTTAAACTTAAATTAAATAATATTTGTTTCAAATTAGATTAATGATACTTTAAATCAGCTAACATTCCTCAAATAAAGTTTCAGAAAAGTATTTTTTTTATTTTTGGAAATAATGGATTTCTTTTGCAATGAAAGATAAATAAAAAAAAATCAGCTATTTTAACAAAGAACAAAAAAAAAACTCCTTCAATTTAAATTAGTTCCTGAGGTACAGCATTTTTAAATTTAAAAACGTTCATAAATATACTTCAGATTAATTGAAAAAAATCAAGGTTATAGAACATGTTAACTTAATGTCTAATAAAAGGAAAGTGTGTAATTTATTTTTGTTGAATATTTTTTTTATAATGAAATTATTTATATTGTTTTAATTTGAGAAATTAATTCATGTAGTATATAATTTTTAAATAAGTTTTAAAAAATTATAATCATATGGATTGGCTTTGGGAATTTCAATGTGGTGCAATGGTTAACAAGTTTGTCTTGCTAGATCAATATTAACTGAATATTGAGTTCAATCCTCAATAAGTGCTACCATACTTTCAGTCTTGTGTCACATCTAAGCTATACTTAGAAAATCATCAGGCATTTATTTTTATCCGAGTATCGGGATTCCAAACATTTAACAACAACACATCATTTAAATGAATCATGAAAAGATTTATTTTCTGAAGGAAAAGTAGAAGCAGAATGTCAGTTGAAATAACATTTATAGATTCTTTTCAGAAATATACAATAGCAATAAAATGTTCAATTTTCCTTCCAGTGAAATTTGTTTTATCACATAATTAAGTGTTCTTAGTACAGTGTGAAATATGTGGACAGACTTACTTCATGACTGTCAACTTGATGTTTCTGTCAATGTATGAACAAGGCCTTAGTCAGCAGCTGCTGACTCATCTCTCCCTTCTATTGTGTGTGTGTGTGTGTGTGTGTAGATCAAAAAGGCCTCTAAAATTGTTTTGAGCCTCTACAAGCAATATGCTTCTATTTTTTATATCCTTAAAGGGATCAAAAATCTAATTTCACATAGTGGTGTGAACATTTTAAATACAAGGTTTTCATTAGTTAGAAAATAATTTTATACTGGCTTGTGAAAATCTTTTTCTCAAATTTGCATGTGTAGTGAAGGGAGTTATTATTGTTATTTTCTAAATGGACCAAAAGTAACATGATAGGTCTACAACTATGTCTGCAAAGTATTTTGTGGCTATTTGCTCTTGTAATCAATTTGTTTATCAAGCAAATTTTTTGATGGGATTTTATTGGTTGAAAAATATATATAGGATTTAATTCCTACAATGTCATGAGTTTACATTTTGTTACATTATAACAGTGCTAATCACTGAAAGTTGAGGACAGCCAAGCAGCAGTTACTTGGTCAGACCATAGAAGCTGCTGGACTTGTAGGTTTTTGTATCATATATACATAGCAATTACTGCTAAATGCTTAAAAAATGTTTAAAAACGTAAATACATTGGCCAAAAGGTAAACAAATATTTATATAAAATGTTCAGACTTGTCCCAATCAGGGTCTAAAGAATTAAATTATTGTCCCAAGTCCCATAACCAATTAAAGCCAAAGGTATACAACATGTATTGTAACCATAGCAGCAGAAGATGTGTGTAGGGCAAGATAACCTGACAGACACCATCCCTCTTTAGACAGTTTTATGAATTTGGAGTGGTTGTCAACTCAAGGCTGGAGAGTCCAGTCTACTCTGGTATCCCCCCCATAGCTGAAAGAGACGGATTCATGCCTTTCCCACAGGTGTTTGTGCAAAACTGAATGCAAAAGACTAGTCCAGAATGTGAACTCAGTTTTCCAATATCATTTTCTGTACTGATATCCATTACACAACCTGCAGTCCTTAAATCAACTCAATGTCCTGTTACAATTATGCCCCCTCCTCCCCAACCACCCCTGAGGACAAAACCAAAACTCTTGAAAGTTAAAATACATTTTTGTTACTACCTGCAGTGAAAATCATTGGTGTAAATAACATTTTGGACACATTCTGTTACAGTTGTTATAACTGAGCTTCTCTTTACTGTTTGCATTTTAGAAACACATTGCAATAACTATGCTCCATTTACCAGTGCAATTTTAACACTGGGTGCTAGTCAGTGCAGATATCTCCTTTATGGAGTAAAATAATGAGAGTTGTTGCCATAAACTTAAACCTCAAACAACCAGTGGTTGCAATAGAACAGGAACTCTTTCATGATTAATTCAGTAATGGGTCTAAATAGTTTTGGAAAAATGTGTAATTCCAAAAATGACAGAGATTGGTAAAAAGCAGATGACATAAGTTTTACCTGGCAGATCATCAGCTAATCTAGTGAGAACGATGCTCACATGTGCTCCACTATGTCAAGTAACTGCAGATAGAGACTTGGGTTTATATAACACAAGTCCAATCCGAGTGAAAGAAGGTTTCAGCAATTTGCCAACAATTTATACCATTAAAAATAAAGTTCAACCAACTCTCTGCTTCATTCAGCATTTGACTGATCTGATCTTTCAATGGGGGACATTTCTTGTTCCAGCTCATCAACTACGTAATTTTTTTAATCATTTCAGCCTGTTCACAGCAGTTCTGAAAGAGAAAAGGATGAAAAAACGTTTAAAAAATAAACATTAGTAAATTGATAAATCTTGTTTCATTTTAAGACATTTTATGTTTATACATTCTTTTTATAGATACAAATATTTAAGTAAATCTCTGTTTATAATAAACCAATATTAGGTAGCATTTACTGGCCCGAAAGAGAAAATTTTCATAGAAAATAGAATCCTCCGACAGGAATCAAACTGTAAAATGATGAGACCTAGTCTATAATCTAGTACTGTGCCTTAAATTTATAAAGACACAAGGTAGCAGTTAGCAAAAGTCAGTTTAAAACAATTACCAAGAAAATATTGATAAAAAGGCACAGGAAGCCATGTTTTAGTGGTGAGAAAATGATTGAATATAAGATACAGGGCCAGAATGATAACATTGTCATTAGGACAAATATTTTTATGAAAACTTCAATAATGTTCTGTTTTTTAAACTGTTTATCAAATATTTTTATTATAAAAAATAACATTGACTTAAAATAAAATCTTGGAAAAAAAGTGCAAAAACCAAAATTTTTTAGATATTGCTTTTTTTTCCATTTCGGATATTGAGTTGAGCAAGCTTTTGAAAAAAAAAAAAAAAAAGTTAATATGCATTCTGCCATTGCTTGACCCTAATGTCTCATTTTCATTGCCTCCTTCAGAGTAATTCTGATAACTCTTGCAATCTATACACAGGTTCAAAGCCTATCAATACATTTTCTTTGATAGTTTTCTTGGTTCAAAACCAGTAGATTTAAATCAGATTCAAGAACATAGCTACTATTTCTAATTCTGAATTGTATATGAACTCCAAGATTCCAAATAAGAATTTCTATACTTGTGATGTAAAACTGGAAAAAGAAGAACTCTAGGCAAAGAATTTGCAGTGGTGATTAATAATTAATTATTAATTACTAACTAATTTAAATATGTGAAGAGTGGAGTCCATAAATAGTCTCCCCTTGACAAGAACATGGATCTTTATTCGAGTATTGACTACTATTATATGTGATTATACAACAATAATACTGTCTTTACAAGGGGACATTATGCTTTGAATCACTGTTGAGGATAGAAACACAAACACAGGCATTCTGTATTCCACAAAGAGAGATCAAGCAAAAGTAAAGATCAAGTCCAGAGATTGAGCATGTTGTAATATTAGACTCAACAGTAAAGATCAAGTATGATGTTCATTGTGATGTCATGGATATCGAATGAATGAGAACTCAGAGAGCAGAGTTCAAATTCCAACAGAGTTCATTAGATTCACTTAAACTCAAATATCCTTGGGAAAGCTATAAATTCATTCATTTTTATTTTGATGATCAATGGGGTGAAAGACTGGGTTGGAAGAGAGTTTGGGGAGAAATATCTACCACAGAAAGAAATGGCATAGAACCTACTGTTGCACAGGAAATTTTCTGCCAAGATCATTTTTTGTATTAAAAGGTAACATTTATTAATTGCAAAATAAATGTATCACATATGGCGATTAACTAACTGATGTTATAATATTGGACCTTTTTTAAACTTTCAACTCCAAAGATATAAACATGTTGTAAGATTAATTTAAAAATCAAATCCAAGATCAAGCATTGTTCATTTTACTTGGTTTTTGTTCATGTAAACCATAAAAATTTTGTGACTATTTACCTAAATATCAAACACTATGCTATACGATTTTACAACATACTATTTAAGACACAAAAAATGCAAATAAATTTTCTGTAATAAACCTGCATTATAGCTATTAAAGTTATACAAAGAAAATGAAACTTAATCAAGAGGACATAACTGTCATGATAAAAATGAGGATTTGATTATCAATCCTAGTCACAATGAATGAATGACCAAAGAGATGGGTTTTTTTCAAGAGCTGTAAAAAGAAGATAGGAAACAGAAAGGAACATGCTAATATGATATTTACACTTATGATAAATGTAAATGTTGGCATTCAGTTAAGGATCAAATCAGAGAAAAGTTGATTCTGGTTCACTAACTACATTTGAAAAGGTTGTCAAGTACAAGTGCAAGACATTAAATGGCTTTGAATCACTGTTTAGGATGGAATAAGAGGTGACAAGTCATTCTGTATTTACAAAACTGGATCAAGCAGTTTGTAATATTGGGCTCAACAGTAAAGATCAGTTCAGATATCAAACAGTGTTCATTCTACCTGGTTTTGTTCATGTAAAGCATAAATATTTTGATGGAAAAAACAACTACCTGATTTATTTAACAGTAAAATGGAATTAAATAAAAACAATGGAAACTGTAATTAGAATCCTGTCTATAATTATGTGAGAAAGACATTTTTAATTAAAAAAGAGAAAGACATTAATTTATGTGACTGATATATTTTTGCATTAACATTTTACCTAAGAGTAGTGGTAGTCTAATTTAAATATGTGAACAGTGGAGACTATAAATAGTCTTCCTTTAAACAAGAACATGGAGGCTGTCCATATTCAGTTTGTGTGACTACTTATCAACCACTATGCTATACAATGTTACAACAGAACAGTGAGAGAGAAAAACTTCTCTCTCCAAATATGGTCTACTTTCATATTTGGAGAGTGAAGACACACAAAATCATTTCTGGGATTGCATCCAAATAACAGATAAGAAACATTGCTAGAGAATTCAATTGAATGTTTGCATCTTTCAGCTTGTATATTTTAATTTTTGACAGACCTAAATATAATTTAAAAATATCAAAAATTTTTTTAAAACAAATTTTATTATTTAACCCAGAACTGATTTAAAAAATGTTAAATACCTCTCGTTAATTATTTGATTATAAGTGAATTTAAAAGCATGTCTGCTTTTTGAACTTGACTCTCCTATTTTTTCTCATTGCAAACCTTTTCCATTACATTAATTTTTTAAAATTTTTAACAAGCATCCTCATCTGGGTTTTTATAGTGACAATATTTCAACCCTTGTATTCTCCAGCCCTCTTTGGGCGTCTGTCTAATTTGTAATCTTCTGAGAATTGCCAATCAGACCCTTTATTCAATCAATGGAGATATATTGACAGCAGAATGAGAATAATATAAGAAGATATCTTATTATTTTAAACCAATTTATTCAAATGAGCATTGTCATTTCGACTGTTATCATCCCAATATTTCAACAGTGGTACTCTAGTCTTGATCAGGTCCCTGATGTAATTGAGTAATCTTCCAGGAATTTTAAACACATTCCTTTTATTCAATACACAATGATGGGGAATCACAGTTCTCAGTCTGAAATTTACAAAGGGTTACCAACTTTGACAGACATCTGAAGATAACAAATGACTATTACAGCCAAGAGGAGGAAACTAGTCCAAGAAAATCAATTGATATGTCCCGGAAAGGGATATATTTGTTCAAAGTAGCAAAGTGGTTATTGATTACTGTAACCAGGTAGGACAATCTAGCAGGTAACCGTAATGGACTGGTCCTCGTCGTAGTGGTAGGCAATAGGCGAAGACAGTAGGTGTAGTCAATAAGCATCATCCTGTACCTCCACATCAGTCTGTATTTATGGCTGACACCAGCCAATCATATTACTGTGAGGGGGAACCCAGATGTATGCATATTCATTACATCATTAATGTATCATGTTAATTTCTCATATTAAAATTCAGACAGAATATGATTTATGACAATTTTTAAAAATAAAGATGAATTGCTATCTTTTCACTTTTCTATTAACTTCACTGGTAGAAAAAAAAAAATGAAAGAAATTATAATAATCTACTTACATTTTGTTCTCTTTTTCAGCTTCCTGGAGTTCCTTAAAAACATTTTCCTCTTCAGCCTGCAGATTCTCAATAGTCTCATTGCATTTTTTCAATTCTTCACTGGAATTTTTAAAAAACATATAATAGATAAATAAATGAATAAAAAAGAAATAGAAATAAAAATAGTTTGGTTTGTTTTACAGCATACCAACCTTTTTCAGTTTAATGTCAAAATCTTTCATTTTTATAAACAATAGAAAGGCAGATATGGCTTAGGTTTGCACCAAAGTCAAAATGGTAGACATATATCAGGTTTACACTAAGGTCAAAATGGTAGACATATATCAGGTTTACGCTAAGGTCAAAATGGTAGACATATATCAGGTTTACACTAAGGTCAAAATGGTAAACATGTGTCAGGTTTGCACCATGGTAAATAATGGTAGACATGTGTTTGGTGTGTGCCAAAGTTAAAAAGCATCGATCTGGGAAACTTTAGCTGATATAAGAACTTTTTTTTTTCCAAAGAGAACTTTCAGTCACTTACCGTTTCTCACTGACAAGCTTTTCAGCTTTTTCTAAGTTTGTATTCAAAGTATTAAGATGGTGCCGAAGTTCATACATATGTAACCGTTCCTGCCTAGTTACCTTTTCCTGGACGACAGAGGGTTTCACTAAAGAGGTTGACCTATCAAGTGAAAGAAATAATCATATTCAATTATAAGAATCCATTTACAAATATCGATGAACATGCACTAGATATTGAGGAAATACCTTCAGCATGTGAAAATAAGAAAATGTATAAAAACAATACATAGACATTTATTAAGTCTATGTTGGCACAAGGCTACCATAGTGGAGAATTGGAATTTCTAAAATAGTTAATGGTTTGGCAAACAAGCTTGCTGACCATTGGTCAAGACTATATACTCTAGTTATTTTTTCTTATACTATATTTCCCACTAACTCAAAGTAGAGGGTTATCGTCAAAATGATAATGGTGAATGAGGTGATAAAAAAAGAAGGTGTAGAGTGAGTGGCCATTGTTAAATGTAAATAAATGGCAGAACAAACAGAATTGGCAAAGTTTGCAATAAAAGTCAAGAAGAAAAGAACATGGCAAAAAATAATATAAAGCAAGCAAACAACATATGCAAAGCAAAGCAACAGTAATACAGCAAAAAGTTAACAAACCAAAAATTGGCGTTGACACACAAGAGCAAGTTCAGATAAGCAAATGTAGTGTTCTGACTTTCAAGACAAGACAGACTGGAACCGAGTCAGATAAAACCAAGAACTGGGCTGTTAGATTGGCTAGGAAGAAATCCCAGCATGCAGTTGTGTGCTTCTGTCTATAAATGGGGGGGCAGTATCTTGCAGAAGGAACCAAGAACATCTTAAAGTAATAGAATGAGTCAACTTGTATCTTTAGGAATGGATTTTGTCTATATGGATCCCAGTATCTTTAGCAATGGATTGTATATATAGGTCCCAGCTTTCTTGGCAATGGATTCCATTGGGTACCCCAAACTAAAAACCTTTAATGCAGGCATAGTGATCTTGAAAAAAAAAAAAGGTACCAAATTTGTTTTGGTAGCTCTATTAAAAAATGTGTTATGACCATTCAATTTTCATCTCATATGCTATTGGACAAAAAACAATTTGAACAGTGTATAACTGAATATGCAGGCTTTGGACAAGTTAAAAATTATTATAAATGTTATGTTATATAGTTAGTCTTGAATTAAAAGAAAGATAATAATACTGATGGTAACAATAATTCCTAGATCAGACCAGCGACAATGATGGGAAAATTTCATTGTCAAAAATAGAATCCTAAAAATATGACAAGAGCAAATTTGACTGGTCATATTTCATTTCATCACTTCATACTTTTCCACTTCTTCCTCTATTTCATTGCACAACAGTGATGAAGATAATTTTTTTTTTTCAGTCATATAAAAAAAATTATTTACACAAAAAAAAAAAAAAAAAAACATAACAGCCAAAAGTACAATTTGGCAGCAAGGCAAAAACAGGTTCAAAGTACATCATACTGAACTTGCCATAAAAATGTATCCATTGGAGTTGCATGCCTGAAACTTAATTTGGGGATGAGGAATTCAACAAAACAGCTCTTATTACTGTAATATCAATACTTTCTTTAATATATGTATCTTAATTTGGAAAATTGTGTAAAAATTATATAATTTTCCCCTTGTCAAAAATAGAACAGTAATGACTACAAAACTTAGGAAATTGTTTTACAAAAAGAAAATAAATACTTTACAATATTTTAAACTTTTTCAGTTTTAAACGGATAGGAAAGACTTTGTGAATAGTATTCCTGCACTTTATCTCCTAATGGAGATTTTTCCAACTGAATTTCCTTATAAGCTTCTGATATGACTAATATTTCTGGAATGCCCATATCCAGCCATCACTTGAAATTGACATAATGTCAAAGTTCCATCTGAAGACAAATGTTGATTCCACTTGTGCAATATAATCTGACAAATGCCATCAGAAATAATCATCTCTGCTCTTTGTTGGAGCTAAAAACTTTATCACAGCACTGAATGGAGATGCAATATCAAAGACTCAGCCAATGTAAAAGTTGGAATCATAATATACTGCAAACCACTGGCCTCATCATTCAAAACTGAAATCACTTGAGATGGTGGTTCTTCCTCACAACTGTTAGAGTTGTATAAATACACAGAATCACAGAATGCCTTTTCTTCTTCCCTTTGTCTTGGAGGTGAAGATGAACCAACTGATTTTACTGTTATCAAGTAATTGCAAAGAACAGCTTCCAGCTGAGATTTAGTTCCACCGGTGTTGATCTTGATACCTAAGAGAACCTTTTATGTTGATCTTTCAGTGCTTCCAAACCACTGCTTGTACATCTTTAATAGACTTCATGTGACTACCATGTTTGATGAGTTAATGATTCTTTGTTTCTCAGCAGCAGCAGCAGCAGCTTGTCACTCTTTTTCCATCTTTTGCCTCTCATTTTTAGCAATCCTTTCTTGTACATGAAGTTTCAGAAGTACATCTTGTTGCTAGTGTCTTTTTCATAAATGTTTTACATGCTTTCTTGAAATGCCAAGAACTGACTCCCACTCAGTTACTGACGGCTTTTAGCCAAGCTGTATGGTTTCACTTTAGGACGTTTGTGGTTGATTAATGGTAAAGTGATGCATGTCTTTTTTTTTTTTGTCGGTTCCACACCAACTTTCAAATATCATTATGTAAATTTTTAGGGTATCTAGAAATCTTTTATACTTAAATAAAGAAAAATCACTGAAGATGTTATTTGAGTAAAATAAACATATTCAAATTCAACCATGAACATACTGAAAGTTCGTCTTACCAAAAGATAACTTAACTCAAAAAATATTTTCGTTGAGAGTTGGTATTTGCAGATTTTAAAATATTTTTTCACATTTGAAAAAATAAACCTACATTGAATATTTATTTTTATAATATTTACTTGTAATTTTTCATTGCAATTCTGAAATTCCTTGCATAAGGGATTTTTCAATTAAATGAAAATATGTTTTAAGAATTGAAAAGTGTGAAGTTTAATACCATTTTCAAGTCATTAGAAGACTACTGTGGTTATGACAGCTCACAGATTACCGTACATAAATAAATTTTATTTTAAGAAAAATAAGTATTATTTTTACAAAATCCAGTGAGTTATTCCTTAATTTTACTAATTTACTTTGAAACAAAAGACAAATACTGGAATTTTAAGAGATTTTTAAACTTATTTTCATTTGTCATCAAAAATAGGGATTAAGTGAATGACTGTGAAATGTCTTAAAAACGTCTTTAAAAGTTTAAACCTTATTTAAATATGTAAAATTGTTTTATATTTTTCTTTTTACAAATTAGTTTTAGGCTGTTATCTTTCAAATAAAAACAAACTTCAAAGAAAACATTTAAATTATTCAAAATGTGTTTTAAATTTTTCTTCAGAATGTTTGTAGTGTTACGTTATAAATGACCATTAAAAGTTCTATTTCAATTTTGTACAGACAAACAAGAATAAGCAAAATTTAACAAACGGAAAATTATACCCAGTTATTTTTTCTTTTTTTAATATTTCATTTAATTCCTTTTAAGGAAGCAAGAAAGATAGAATTCAAACTGACAGTTTGGACAAAATAAAATTATTTTTGTTCAGACTGTAAGCTCAAATTTAATAATTGCTTTATTTATACAGCTTTTAAATGCATCATAAATGAAAATATAAGAAAAAAAATTTGAATTATAATATCAACTGATGAAATAAGTCCGATTTAAATTGGGATCTTGCTGGCAATGTTAATTCATTTGTTCAACAATACAAATTTTGATGCAGCAGATCTGACTGCTTTGCATAAAATGAACACAGTATACCCTCTAGAGTTGTGTGGACAAAGAGACATGAAAGCAACTGATTATTAAAGATGAGTCATTGCTCTACAAGGAGGTGCAAATTTCATTTTTTTATCTGTTGAATTTCTCTGATATTTCATTCACTAGTTTTCAACTTAGAAATTTTTTGTGAAAGATAATTTCAAACCATATGATTTACCCACCAAATTGAGTAATTTCCTTTTTCCTATAAGTTGAGACAATTTTAATATGTGTAAACAGGCACAACTCTGTGCAACTAATTTGAAAAAACATCACTATGACATTGCCATGTCACTAAAATATCAAATACAATATTTATAAACCAATCACACTCAAGAAAACACTTACATCTTAAAACACACCAATAAAATCATAGATTACAAATCAGAATGTTTGTTGTATTAGACATCATCATTTTTAGGTAGATACCAACCAAATATCGTACGGACGTAGTAGAAGACATACCATGTGACTTCTTAGGGCCAATTAGGAATAAATAAATAATTTAATTCTGGAGCTGATATTGTTCGGAAAAAGTGTATAAAAACATACAAAAATTGTATCTGTAGAAAGACAAAGGAATAAATTTGTTACTAATGTACTAATTTTATCAAAATAGCCTACAAAATAAATGATATATCAGCAGTTGAAATGGAAGAAATTTCACTCTTTTAATATGTGCTCACTGTAAACTTGAGGATACCATGGACTGAACATGTGAGCAAATGACAAGGTTTTAGAGAAAAAGGAAACTTATACTTAACATCAGAAAGAGACAGTTGAAATTTCTGGAGCATGTAATGAGGAAGGAGGGCTTGGAAAATCTGATACTCACAGGACAGATTGAGGGAAAGAAGGACAGAGGAAAGAGAAAATGTGTAATATACTTGATGGGCTTGAGTAAATAGATGCTAGAACATGGTTTGGGAAAAATAACAAAAAGACAAAACTTATTAAGAACTACAAGGGACAGGAAGATGTGGAGGGCCATGATCACCTATGTTCTGAAGAGACATGGCACACAGAACAACATTGTGGACTAGTGCTACAGAATTGCAAATAAAGAATTGTGCCAAACAGGGCTGTGGAGTTGGAACACAAAACCTTTGACTGACTCCAATGAAATTAAGTGATTATGGCCTACAAATCTCATAAAACCTAACTTGCGTAGGCCTAAATCATTATAACTGATTTATATCAAAGAATAAAGATATTGTGGATTTTATATTATAGCTATTCATTCTTCAATATTTTCTAACAGAATTAGAGACAAGATCTTTGAAAGGATATAGAAGAAATGAAAATAAAAATGCTATGATGTAAGGCTTTTTTTATCTTTACAAATAAGAAATAAATACAGAACAAAAATAAAACTACTTTATAACAGAAGTTGAAATATAATCTTTAGCAGGATGTAAACGACAACAAAAAATAAAAATTCTATAATGTAAGATTTTTTTTTTACATATATAGTTTTGTAAATAAAATGACTTTCAAAAAGAAGTTTAGATGAATTTCTTTAAAGGAAATAGTAAATATACAGTAGGAGAAATAACGATAAAAACAAAAATTCTATAATGTAAGTTTTTTTTTACATAAAGTGTACAGTAAATTGAACTGGATTCAGTCAGTATAGTTTTACTGACTCCGACTCCAGTGACCCCCTTAATTGCTTCCGACTGACTCCACAACTCTGACTCCAACTCCACAGTCTTCGTACCAAATTACAGAAACCACATCGTTTAAGAACTTTCAATAGCAACAACAACTAAAACAGACAGCACATGTAACTCAAAGAGAAAATAATAACATAATCAAGATGCTAACATTCCACACCACTTCAAAGAGAAGGTTTGGAAGGAAACCTCCATGAGTACTGAAAAAAGCAAAATTTGGAAGGAAACCTCCATGAGTACTGGAAAAAGCAAAATTTGGAAGGAAACCTCCATGAGTACTGGAAAAAGCAAAATTTGGAAGGAAACCTCCATGAGTACTGGAAAAAGCAAAATTTGGAAGGAAACCTCCATGAGTACTGGAAAAAGCAAAATTTTCTTTAAAAAAAAAAAAAAAAAAAATATATATTTAAGAAAAAGATTTTATAAATTTCAACCAAAAACATTACTGGTTGTTTGGTCAATGAATGCCAAATGTTTCCTTCTAGGGAAATGGTTAATATTACCATTAGCAATATATGGGTTACACTTGTGGTTTAAAGTAAACTTGAGACCAATAGATGTTCCAACCAAAGTGCTTCACTGAGAGTGAGACTGTTCATCATGGGTGAGGAAAACTCTGGGATGATGATATGATACTAGCTTGGTTTTTAATAATATTCCAAGTTACAAGACAGTATGTTTCTTCCCCACCACCACCACCACTGATCTGTTAGAGTTAGATCAGAGGAGAGATCAGCTACAAGGCTCTTTTCTATATAAGCAATTTATGAATATGCTCTACTGACAAATTAGTAATATAAGGTTTTATTTATTTTTTTTTATTTTGACAAACTTATATACTTACATCGCCCTGCTCAGTGATAATTCTGACAAGTTCTGAAAAGATTCATCCCAAACGATTTCTTCTTGAGCAGCAAGATTCTCAGTCACTTCTGACAAGTCAGATAGTGAGGAAAGGTAATCACTGGAGTCTGTAATGTAATCCATATCTGTTAAGTCTCCCTCGTCAGACCATTCCAGAGATTTCGTCCTTGTTAAGTTGCACATCTCATCAGTCATAAGGTTGGTTGGTGTTTGCTGATCATCAGTCTCGGTCACATCACTATCCATTAGTTCTGGATTAAAATCTTGCAACTCTTTTTCTAGAGTGGAAAAAAAAAAAGGATTTTTTAAACATTATTTGTTGGTACAATCATATTTTAACATGTCAGAATATAATAAAAGGCAAACATGGACCTTCATGACCACAAAAGATTTCAAAAGGATGGTTTTTCGCACGACTGCTTTTATTTCATCAATGTTTATTGTTTTAAAAAGAGATGATTAGAATTGTAATAAAATCTAAACATATGAAAGTGAATTTATACATTTTCTGTGTTCTTGAAAATTAATGGAAATAATACTATTTATTTATTAAATTGTTTATTTACACTATTATAATTATTTATTGGAATGGTTGACAAAAAACTGGATAATTACCAAGTGATTTGAACTTTATTAAATGGTATATAAGTATTTACTATTAGCTGGTTCATATATTTTAATAATTTAGTAAATGTTTATAAATTTATGAATAAAAAATGTTCATATTTGTGGCCTTCTACAATTGCTTCTGTCCTTTGTTTTGCCATTTTTTTTTCTTCAAAGAAACTTGTCTTTTAATGCAGGGTGCTTGGTCTCTATGTAGTGAAGCAGCCTTGGCATCTTGAATACCTCGTTGGATAGCCTGATGCCACATTTTCTTTAAAAAAAAAAAAAAAAGAAAGGAAAGGAAAATGAATATCAATTCTATTCTCTTTTTTTTGTTAGTTACCAATTTGTTAATACATTTTTGATTAGCCATTTACATCATGCTAATCCTGCAATAGATATCTTTGTTTGATATTATCAGGATTCATGAGCACATGGCTGAGTGGTTAGAATGTTGGCTTCTGTCAATGAGGCCAATGTTCAAATCTCACCATTTGTCAGGGAGGTAACTTTTTTTGTAATATCAACCTGGGTAGGTGAGCCCAGCACACAACACCTTTGGAAAGTGCCTGAAAACCCTACCATGGGTTAACCTAAGGCATATGAGTGAAATTAGGTAGATGGAATTGTTTGGAAGCTGTTGATAGTTGTACTAGCACAAAGTCACAAGTCATCATGACCAGGGGTTTGAGCCTTCTCAAAATAAATTGATCACATCAGTATTCTCTATCCCTGAAACTGTAACTAAAGTTCACTCAGCTTAGTTGCAGTATAAACCAGAAGTGGATATTGTAGGTTGAGCAGGCATCTGTCTTAGGGTTTGGCTAGCCACATTGGCTGATGAGTGTGCTCGGAGACAAGTTGTAGCCAACCATTTATAAAGATTCACATGTGTTAAGAATAAAATTAATTTTCTATGATACTAGTCATGTAGAGGACCATGTGGGTTTACATGTTGTTGAATTAGGGACACGTGCTGTTTATTCCTGCTAGAAGGTCCAACTACAAGAACAATGGCAGATTCCAGTTGTATGTTTGTTTCATGGCATTTTCCCACAAGTTGGCAAAACATGGATTTCTGCAAGAGATTACATTTTTAAATGTGTCTGCTGAAATGTAAAGTACAAAAGAGAACAAAGCAAGAGGTTGCCTAGTATTTATAGCGTAGGGAGAGCGACTCCTAGTGAATAATTACGGAATTAAGGAGGAGCTAACTCTGACAGTCATACAGTCATGTAAAGCAACTGGAAATGAAATAAATTAAATTTCTGGTAAGTTTCCAATGAAGAAATATGAAAAGTAAAAATACAAAAATAGGTTGTTTATTTTTGGTATGTGTGAAGGTGGGGGATTCCGTGAAATTAACTTTTCAATGCATACATACATTTTTTTTCTGCTCCAAAAAGTGAAATAATTGTATTATTGTTACAAATGTTGGAGCAATACTTTCCGTATGATGAAGAAAAATTTATTCTTTTCTTTTTTGGTAAATTTGCAGATAATTTAAAAAAAAATGCATTATTCCTTATGTAAAAAAACCTGATTATTACAAAAGTAGCAATAAAAATGAGGAAACTCTAGTCTACTGTAGGAGATATTACCAATCTTGGGTTCTGAGTACAGCCTTGCTGCCTCAATATGTGAATGTGCTCGGTATAGTCAGGGAATGATTTCAGGAACAGGTCTCTAGGCTAAAAAATTGTCAAGCAAATAAAAAATAATTACAGAACCAACTTTCTTAGCTGCAGACTTAGCAACTGATTCACAATTTACTTTGCAAACTTTTAAGTCTTTCCACTTAATGTCAGTCAGCTGAAATCGTTAGTCCGAGAATGGTCACTTTCCTGGACGAAACTATAGTCGCGCCAATGGAATTATGCTTTGAGATAGTAAAGAAAAATCCTGCAATTAGTGCAATTCAATTAATAATTATTTTGCATCAGTAAAAAAACTGAACTCAGTTAGCTTTTTGGTAAAATTCCAAGAAAAAAAAGAATATTTAAGAATAAATACGATGGCAAATAAATAAACTTGTAATAACAGTAACACATACCTTTGCTATTTACCGGAAAGTATTTTATTTTTACGGAATTGTTAGGTATTTCCATTTCATTATTTTAAGCAAGTAAACAATTGTTTCATTAGAAAAAGCACTTCCAACCGAAATTGACAACCAAAACAAGCATGATGTGAAATACGCATGCGTCCTGATTTGGCGGGCTGGGGGGTAATAGGGATTTCTGGAATATTTATTTAAAAAAATAATTTTCCGTAATTTTCCTAAATATTAATTATTCAAAAAAAAAAAAAAAGGTAATGATATTTAAATTAATCAACGACTGAAAAGATTACCTTGTAATTGTAAAAAAAAGTATTAGAAGAAAAAGAGTTTCTTTTTTTTTTCTCTTTCCTCACCTCACTTCTTTTTTTTTTAATTATTAAATTACGATAAATCAGTCTTTTAATTTTAGATTAACCATCTAGATATTTTTAAAATTGTAAAATAAAATTTTAAAAAATTGTTTGGTAACTTGTTTTTTTTTATGCTTCGGGCCATTGAACTTTTCAAACTTTTGAAAAGTTTTTAAAATACATACTTTCGCGGGGATCACGCAGAAATGTGTCTTTTATAGTCTTTTTACTGAATTAAAAATATATATATATATAAATTAAAAAGACGTGCTTCATTCAAGAATAAAGATCTGCTGCGATGAATGAATTATTTTCCATTTAGTGACCAAAACATTGCACTCACAAAAAAAAAAATGTTACAAACTGTTGATTAAAAAACTAAAGAAATAAATTTGAATCTTAGAAAAAATGTAAATATTAAACTATAACTCACCCATTTTAGCCTTCGATAAACACCAGTATTAATTTACCAAATAAGTGTGTAATCACGGCAACGTGTGTCGGAGAATGGAGACCTGCAATTTGCACGAATGAACAAGTCAAAACAAGACCTCGTGCGCGTTGCTAGGAAAATCATCAACCTAGCGACGATTGTTTGTCAAGGAAGAGTAGTCTTTCTTGAATAACTCTTCCTAAAATAAAATAGAGTTGTCTCCCTTGAAAAATCTAAATTCCTATAGCTGAAAAAAAAAACGATTGTATGTATATTTAATTAAAACTAGCATTATTATCCTATTTTTCACATTTTAAAAAGGTATCACTCGTAAGAGTAATAATATTAAAATTATTAATAATTGTAGCAATAATAGAAATAAATATATGAAGACAATATTAATAAAATTTCACCAAATGATTAGAATTTTTTTAAGATTAAAAAATTAATATAAAAATGTAAATTTTATTTTATATGTTTTATAAATTTTATTTATAAAAATTAAAAATTAAAAAAATTTTAAAAAATAACTTAAATTGAAAGTACACACTGTTGGGTTTTAACTTCTGCCTTAAAATCCAAAATGCATTTATTTACATTTTAAATATTCAAAAGAATTATTTGAATTCACTTCTTTTTTAATATATTTTACAATAACATCATAAAAGTTATTTTATTTTTTATTACTATTTTGTTTTAATAGTCAGGATGTAGGCAATAATGACTTTCCACATATTGTTTATTTTTTATTATTTGTAGATTGCCAGACACTCTTGGGAAAGATAGTAGAGTGGCTTACCACTGACTTCTCCATGTGTGGAATTCAGTTTTCCTTCTCTTAAACTAGTGATTGCCAACCAAGTTTACAGTCTACCTTATTAAAACATGTAGCTATGTGGAAAAGCAATATACTCATGTCTTTCAAAGTGAATTAATGTTAATGTGAATGCAATAAACTAGGCCTTGAATTTGACATTTATTTTCTACAAATAATATGAAGAAAGTAACATATTCTATAATATAAACAATATTATGAATAATATAAATCACAGTGTGATTTTACATGTTTATTGGTCAAACAACCACATATCCTTTTCTTAATAGCAAAATAATCCAGTGTTATCATAATGGAAGGCATTACTCTACAGCAGTGGTTCCCAAACTTTTTTCCTCTAGGCCACAGTTTCAAAATGATAATTTGCTCAAGTCTAGCCAAATTTTATGTAATAAAAAGTCCATTTAAAAATAAAATCAAAGAAAGGGTTAAACAGAGATATCAGTGGATTAGAAGTCAGAACATTGATAACTCTCTCCTTCAATTTGCTGACCTTAGTTACTATATTCTTAATAATTGATATAATGCAAAAACATAGCAATGATAAAATCAGTCAATAATTAGTTATGTGTTCTGGGTAAGATGATAAACTACATCCAGTGTCTTGGGTAAGACGATATACTACATCCAACAGCAATGCCTCTGATCAGAGGGTTTTGAGAAGCATGGAACCACCTCTTAATTGCTGGTGTTCCCAGGTCCACACTGACTCAGGGTGGAAGCACCTGTTAGGGTCCCAGCTATGGGCAAATAGTTGACCCCCGCCCCCCCAAAAAACTGATGTCAAAACACTATGAAAGCAATAAAAATCTTGTTGGCATTAAATAACCCATTGCAGTTGAGATGCTGTAAAACAAAACAAACCAAAGCAATAATTATTTCTATTTATACTGGTACATATGCATCCAATTACAAATAATCCATAATATTTTAAATTTTGAAATCATATTTATTTTTGGCATATGAATTTTTTGTAACTGTTTCTAAATATCTTATTGTCTTTCAATCATTCCATCTCACCTGCTATCCTCTTCTGATGCCTTTAAACTGATGCCTTCTTTTTTTATATCTAAACTATAATTATATAATATACACAGAAATATGTTTTTATCTGAAATCAAGAAAACGTGAACTTTAAGCAAAATGGTCACCAATATATAGGGAAAGAAATGGTGTCAGTTTAAACTGATGCCAGGTAGATATCCTCTTAACAAAGCCATAACCGTGTCTATGTATGTATACTCGGTTCAAATGTAGTTGCCATATTAAAATAATGTGTTTATTTTTTCCCCCTGCTCACCAAACCGCATTGAACTGATGGAATCTGTATTATTAGAGCTGGTGTGATTTTTGATTTATTCATTTAATAAATCATACCTAGGTAAATCTTATCACTGGATACATAAATAATTTATATTTGTGCATGTGTGCATATATGTATACCTCAACAGAAATGTATCTGTATTGATTTTATAGATTGGAAATGTTATTGCTTTTACAAAACAAAAAATTGAGCTTCCTACTTTAAAAATATCACACTGATAAAATTGAACAATAATTATATATAACTATTTATACTGGTGCTCATGTATGCAATTACAAGTAATCCATAATAATATTTTAAATTTTGAAATCATATTTATTTTTGGCATATGAATTTTTTGAAACTGTTTCTAAATCTTTGATAGACTTTCAAATCTTCTGCCTCAGAAATCCTCTTCTGCTGCTATAGGTTTCTCAACATAATTGGGAAGTATAAACTATACCATTAAGTGAATATCTTAATAAAAATACATGTCTTCAATGGGTGGTTAGTGATTTTTATTTATTTATTTTATTTTTTTTTTTTGTCAGTATTCTTTGGATATTTGTACTGTTAATGATTTAAAAAGAAAAATTCTTTCTTAAGCATGCTAAATTATATGAATACAAGTCTTGAGAGGGAAAGGGTTTACAAATGTCAGTGATCATCCATTGTTAATAGTTTATGTCCACACTGACCCCATATTTATTAGTGTATATTCTGTCACTGATATTGACGTCTTTTTCTAATAAATTAACACACAAATTCTGCCTAACAGGAACTTCCTATCTATGGAATATATATATATATATATATATAAACTTTTGGTAATATAAAAGTTCTAGCTGGACTGAATGATTACAAAAAGGTTTGACATGAAGTTCATCTGAACATTTTGCAATATAACCTCAATGACAGAAAGTGACAAATTAGCTTTAAAGGTCTCCTTTCTCTGACAATAAGTATATATATATATATATATATTATATATATATATATATATATATAATAAAAGACTTAAACACTAAAATTCCATGGTGGAATTTATTCCATTGGAATTGTAATACAATCAATGAATAAGACCTACAAATTCAAAAAAAGAAAAACAAAAAAGAACAACTGTAAAAAAAAATAGAATTTGGAGAGATTGTAGCTCATTTGAATATTTGGGACGAATGTTGAGTGTTAAATGGGGTAATAGACGGAGAAGGTGGGAGACTAAAAAACTTAACAGAGGTTTTTTTCTAACTAGAGGTAAGTGGAAGGGGAATATGAATGTTGTCGGATGTCTAATACATTAAAGATACATTTTGTGATGACATACACACACCATAGACGATTTAATGTTAAAGATCAGAATACTGGATTGAAAAAGGAAAGAAGAGGTGGGAGAGAGAGATGTGGCAGGGGAAACCAAAATTGAAGGACATTTTTTCAAAGGGCCGCTGTGTAATAGAGAAAATTTGACAAAATTAATATCCACTTGTTTTTCAAATCAAATATAAACATATAAAGAATATAACAATTTGTCTGTCTAATTTAAAGGTTTATATTTTTATTTTCAAAAAAAATTTGAGGAATGACCACATGATATTCTATCATAGTTAAACGTATATAAATACAACACACTTTCTATTTTTACCCACATACACACATACATATACCCATTAGGACACATATATCTGAGAATCCACATAAAAAATAAACAACATATACACACACAAATATCTGGTTATATAAATCTGATTCAATATGGCATTCTATCTCTGAAAGTGAGCGGCATGGAAAGGCAAGACCAAACGTCTTTTTAATATACAAATCGAACTCCTACAAATATACATATACAATATATACACACTACACACACATATCTCACCCATATCCAAACCCGAACACTTTTTCCACAGGGGTTTATACAGAATTTTGCACACATATACACACACACACTCATATATATATATATATATATATATATATATATATATATATACACACACATAAAAATACATACAATATCAACATACATATCTACCATACATCCATGTTATCAAGTCCTTCATATATACACAAGATTTACCAATATATACAATTAGTATACACCCAACTAAACAAATAAACAATGTATCCCTGTATCTATCTGTCTAACTATATATATTATATATATTTTTTATATATAAACCTTTACTTATTTTATCCACCTTGTTTTTGGGTATATATAACATTAGCCACATGGATTAAACAGAAGGGCATGATAATTTTTGATGGCCTTGTTCACCTGAGTAACAAAATCATGCTAGATAACATAGACAAATATTTCCCAGAAAAGGTCTGCTGAGCATACATTTTAGTAATGTTGTAAAGGTTGGTTCCATGGGTGTTGAGGAGTCACAGATGTGGGACAGCAAGTGTCTGCAATGACAATAGGCTAACTGCCCATTTGTGGGACGGGTTTCCAGGGGTGGCAGATCTATTATATATAATTCTGCATGTAATTTTTTTTTCTAGCGTGTCTCATTAAATAATTTGAACAAGTTTTGTCTACTTATATGATCTTCAAAAGACAAGCTTTAGTATCCTCATTCCTTGAAAGAATATTTTTATTGATGCATATTCATCTATTCTGTGTATATTTCTCTTTTATATAACCCCTTGGATCTGTTTGAGCATGAAACACTATTGCCTTGTTTGACCTGAAATGATTACTAAAAATACATAAAATCTAAAAAATACATCATATGTGATTAAATAAAGGGACAGAATCTTATTATTATATCCACATGAATTGTGTGTGTCTTAGGGACGTTTATATATTAAGACATTCTTCTTTTTCGTCTTTTCAACCAATTTTTTTGCTTTCACAGGACTG